CGATTTCTTCCTTATTATTGACCCAAACACTTTATAAATGCATATTTGTGACCTTCTTACGTCGAAAGGAATCGATTGAGCTCAAAAAACACGCGATGTGAAATTTTGATTTTTGGCTGAAATTTTTCCAAGGGTGGTTGGTCGATTTTTTGAAAAAAATGAAATTTTCTCAAAATGTCTTAAATTTTACATAAGTTTCAGCTCACGAACGCGAGGAATGCATCGAACTCATTGAGAAACACGGTAAAAGTTTTAGATCCGAAATAATTATTTATGAATATATTTGGAGCCCATTTCGTTCCAAACTGTTGAAAATTCAAATATTCTTATAGACAATGAATGTCTCGGGAATACACTTTGTAAACAATCTGATGTTCTATTTTGAAAATGAGTTAATCGCGGTAAAATTGAAAGTATTTTGTTCGGGAAATCGTCTTTTCGACTTAACCGATTGCAATTTCCGAGATGCAGTTTTCATAGAAAATCGTTCGTTTTTCCACAATTTTAAAAATTTTCAAATCGGCCCGATATTAGCAGTTACGCAGAAAATTTCCACATTCAAAAAGCTGTTTGTCCAAAAGAAAACCGACCTTAAATCCACAAAGAAAACATTGATAACATTTGTCTTGAAAAATCGCCTTTCCGACCTTCAAACTCTGATGACGTTCAACATTCTCAACTGATTTGAAGTTTGCAAAATACGATATTTAGACCAAACCACTCGTTTTAGAATGAATTTCCAATGATCCAAATCGGGCCCGTATTAAGAGAGTTACTAATTTATTCATACTGAAGGATCTGATGCGCCATACAATTATAATAACCGCAAAATCCATGGGTCGGCACTCGAAGTCTTACCATTTAAAAATGCTATAATTTTGCCATTTTAATTTTTGTATAATAGAAAACTTAAATATTAAAACGCAAAAACATTCAAAATCAAAAAAAAGTTATTGTTCGATGTAGCCACTGTCGTATCGGTAAAGGCCCGATTACTGGAAAACAATTCAGTTGATAAATATATGCGTGCAAAGCAGGAGCGCACGTGTTTTGCAGGGGAATCCAATTTTACTGGGAACCCATTTTTGAGCTGATTAACAATTGCCAGCAGGGCAGAAGCGCACTTGTTTTGCAGGGGAATCCAATTTTACTGGGAACCCATTCTTGAGCTGATTAACAATTGCCAGCAGGGCAGAAGCGCACGTGTTTTGCAGGGGAATCCAATTTTACTGGGAACCCATTCTTGAGCTGATTAACAATTGCCAGCAGGGCAGAAGCGCACGTGTTTTGCAGGGGAATCCAATTTTACTGGGAACCCATTCTTGAGCTGATTAACAATTGCCAGCAGGGCAGAAGCGCACGTGTCTTGCCAGGGAACCCATTTTGAGCCGGAAAAAATTTGCCAGCAGGGCAGAAGCGCACGTGCTTTGCAGGGGAAACCCATGTTTTTTTAATGAAATAAATAGGCCCGCATAGACAGACCGGGGAGAGTGTGTGATAGGTTTCGTCGGGATACCTATTGTTTTCTCGGGAGCGCGCTTGGACATCCTACCCGGTGAGCCAAGAAAGACTTTTACGAACGATTTTACGAGCTATAGTGTGTGGCGTAGTATTTCCAGGGGGTATTCCCAAGTGGTGACCTTATTTTTTTTAGAAGGTTTGTGTTGTGTTATTAATTATAAAGTTACCACCCATTATGAATCCGACCAATAATGAGATTCACCGTTCTGGTGGGGACAACCTAGCGCTACA